TGAGAGAACTCATACTGGAGAGAACCCATATAAATGTCCTCTATGTGGAAAAGCCTTTGTTACGAGCTCTTGCCTTTGAAGACATGAGAGAACTCACTTTAAATGTAGTGAAAGAACATGGAAGAGCCTTCAGCCACAGCTCTAATCTATAATCCGAGAATTCATAAGTGGGGGAAATTTATGGCCATATTCATTATGGAAATGCCTTCATTTTAAATTTATCCTTACACAACATGAGTGAACTCCATTTGGAGGAACCCTATATTTATCATCGAGGAGGAAGAGACATTAGCTGATCTCCGGTTGTAGGGTGCACAAGAAAATTCAGTATGAATGATAATCTAATCTCCCTGGAAGGGAAATTACACAGGAGAATCTTACAAAAGGAGGTCACTCTAGGAGAGTAACAAAAATTGATGCTGGGGAGCTTATTCATTGTAATATGCATGGAAAAAACATTTACTAGTAGAAAAACTATTGTAGGCATGTGAAGTTTCACACTCTGTAGAATAGTGAATGAATGGAAGTCTTCAGTGATTTTTAATTCCTTAGTCAACATGCAATTTCTCACATTGTATATATGCCATTGCTAAAATCAGATGAAAGGTTAGAGTTTGCATTAGAAATCCCTGACTAGGAAAAACATCTATTGAGAATGTCTAACCACACAGTTTAGACATTAATTTATATTTTTGCCTGATGGCCTATTATAAAAATGTAAGAAACATATGTAGGATTGTGACATCATCTGGGAATTCTGAATGCAGAATTTTATGACAATTATTTTCTTCCTTAATGGACTAGTATGTAGAACTGCATATGAAGCAAAATTGTTGCTAAAAAATCCATTATACTGGTTAGGTCCTATTTTTCATACAGCAATAATTATGATTGGGTTCAACTAGAAAGTAATGTTGAATATTAACTGAAAAACAACACAAGATGATGTGTCATTACTACATATTGTTAACCATGTATGTAGATTATAATGATGAATTAAAGATTAATACATAGTTTGTGACCGAATTCTGCATAAATTTTCATTTTAGAATGGCATTATTGAGACAATGAAGGGTATTACCTGACAATAAGGGGGGTCAGTTCAACAGCAGGATAGAACCTCTGTAAATATTTGTGCATCCAACATAGGAACACCTACATATAGGGATGCCTGGGTGGCTCAGTCGGTTAAGCGTCTGCCTTTGGCTCAGGTCATGGTCTCGGGGTCCTGGGATGGAGCCCCGCATCCGGCTCCCTGCTCAGTGGGGAGTCTGCTTCTCCTTCTCCCTCTGCCTCTGTCCCCCTGCTCATGATCTCTCTCTCTCTGACTCTCAAAATCTTTTAAAAAATGAACAACTACGTATATAAAACAAACACATGTAAAGGGAGAAACAGTAATACCATAGGAGGGGAGCTTGAATACACATTTTCATCGATGGCTAAACCATTCAGACAAAATCCATAAGAAAACATGAGCCTTCAATGACACATTAAGATGAGATGGATCCCGAGCACTCCATCCACAAAGGGCACAGTGCCTCCTCAAGTGCACACGAGAACGCTCCAGGATTGACCGTATGTCAGTACCAGAGGACAACCGTCTTCTCTTTTACCCCAGCCATGTAATTGCCCGTCTGTTTCTCATAAAACCCCCTTGCTTTCACCCCGTACACGGGACACTTGTGGTTATTGCTGGAATCTGTGCTCCCCAAAGCGCAATTCTTCAACCCCAAATAAACTTTTCTCGTCGGTCTCTTGTGGCAGCTCTTGTTTGCAGGTTGGCAGATGTTTGCCACCAGGTACTACAGAGTGAGGCCCAGGAGGGCCGATTTCGGTAGGAGGTGACCAGGTTCAGGACCCCGTTTGCAGCCCCAGAAGAATGTGTCCCTCTGTGACTGCCTCAGAAGGTCCCAAACAGAGCACCAAACCTTTGAGGAGAAAGAATTGCCCCTCATCCCTTCTAGAGGTTCTTGGCTTGGATACCCCACCCCAGATGGGGTCAAGGGCATGGAGGGAGAGGACCCCTGGACAGGAGCTGCAGAGCGACTGTGGGGTGAAGCGGTGCAGCGACCTGGGCAAGGGCAGGGCGGGTGGGGAGGCGGAGGGGAGATGGGAGGCTCCAGCGCTGGAGAAAGCAGATGCTCCTGTTGGGGCGGACGGGGTTGGCTCCCAGCAAAACCAGTTCAGAGGACATGAGGGCCAGAGGAGGGGAGCCAAGGCAGGCAAAGGAATGAATCAACCAGGCAAAACGCATTCCCAGGAGACAGCAAACAGCATTCTAAGAAAAGAAGGCAAAGTAACCAGATGGACCTCCTTGGGGTGGAGGGGAGTGGGGCATGGGGCGACATGAGCAGGGGGCAGATGAAGCCCTCAGACGAAGGGGAGAGGCTGCTGGTTTGTACGTGAAGCGGCTAGCAAGTACATTGGGGTCCACTACAGTAAAGTCAAACCTACAGCAACAAGACCCAGGATCTCCCGTTTCTGAGCTGGGGTTGTAGGTCCTTGCACCTGGGAGAGAACAACGTGGCCCGTCACTGTAGGAGCTCACGCAACTTCCATCACAATCGTCCCCAGGTTTTATATTTTTATGCCTTTGTAAATCTCATGTTTTAACTTACATTTATTCATCGCTCACAGGTAAGTATAATTGACTTATATGACCTTGAATTCTCTGAACTTGGTAAGTTTAATAACTTTCTCTGCACTTTTTTTTGTTTAGTTGGATTTTCTGCATACACAGTCACTTCATGTACTGTCTTCTTTTCCAATTTTTCTGTTCTCCTGTTGTAGCGTTATTGCCGAGCGTAACTCCTGCCCGCATGTCAGATGTAGAGCGAGCCGACCGTTTCAAGTGGCAGTAAGGGTATGGGGGTGGGGGGAGCAGACGGTCCTGTTGTGGCCGATTGTATCGGAAAACAGTCCTTCTGTACGACCTATGGTGGAAGTGAAAGTTTTCTCATGCGCTTTTTTTTTAGGATTTTATTTATTTGGGAGAGAGCACGAGCAGGGGGAGCTGCAGGCAGAGGCAGAGGCAGAGGGAGAAGGAGACTCCCCGCTAAGCAGGGAGCCGGACGCGGGGCTCGATCCCAGGACCCTGAGATCATGACCTGAGTTGAAGGCAGACGCTTCACTGACTGAGCCACCCGGGCGCCCCCTCTCGTGCACTTTCTAAATGATGATTAGCTAACACTCGTGTCCTCAGTGAGGAGTTGGTCAGGTCTCTCCGGCTGGCAGTGAAGATGGGTTTTGTAAATTATTTAGGGAGAGCGCGTGAGCAGGGGTGGGGCAGGGAGCGGCACACACAGAGCGTGGAGCCTGACTCAGGGCTCGAGCCCACAACCCTGAGACTGTGAACCGAGCCCAAACCAGGAGTAGGCCGCCCAGGCCCCCTACTTGTTGGATGTGATTGGTGCAGGGATTTTGCTGGGTGTGCTCTGCGGGCAGTGAATGGGGAACGGTGGCGCCACGGGGCCTCAGCCTGGCACGGTGACCGCAGAGGGCAAGGCGCTCTCCCCGGGGGGGGGGCCACCAAGGTGACGTGTCCCCCATATCAGACCACACAAGGATGTCTGTGTTTGTCCCTCACAGGTTGGGTGACTGACCCACAGGGCACCTGTTGCTGACTCCTTGGAGGCATTCAAAATGCTGTCCCCGTGATCACGGACCCTGCAAGACCCCCAGATCACAAACTTTGCAGATCGTAGCCCCAAACTTACAGGATTTCCACTACACATTTCAATAACTCTGCCCCTAGTCTTCTCTTCTCCAGAGCCCCTGCAAGTCCCACAGGCCTGACCCCACAATTCTGGTTTCACTTCTCCCAGGCTCCCCGGTGGGCGTGCTCTGTGGGTCTTTACTGCACTGCTGAGCTGGCGCTTTCTACCTCGTGTGCCCTCTAAGACATCACACACCCTGATCCCACAAGCCCTGACACGTGCATGTGCACGGAGGAGATCTGAGAACACGTGCCTGTGTTCTACTTTGTTTTGTTGTCCTACCTAAACAAAAAAAAGTGCAGAGAAAGTTATTGCACCCCCACCCTGACCACACTCAACAGACGAGTAGTGGCCAACACCCTCAGTCGGAAAAACCAGGGAAACGACGGTGCAGATCCGAGGGCCATGTACTCTCTGGCCATCCTTATATGCAGGGAATCTGGCTGTGCATGTGTCTTGATCATGAGGCGTATCACACTCGGACGTCGACACGGAAACCCAGGGCTTGGCGGGGAGAGGCTCGAGGCCCAGGCACAGATCTGTGCTGCCTCAGTCCTGGCAGAGAGTGTAAGACACTGGTGGATCCCAAGGGTCTGCATCCGAGGTGTTTGCTACAAACATACCAGCAAAAAGATTAATGGGAAAAATGCAGAAAGGGGCGCCTGGGTGGCTCAGTCGGTTAACATCTGCCTTCGGCTCAGGTCATGATCTCTGGGTCCTGGGATCGAATCCCGCCTTGGGCTCCCTGCTCAGTGGGAAGCCTTCACCCTCTCCCTCTGCTTCTCCCCCTGCTTGTGTTCCCTCTCTCTGTCAAATAAATCAATAAAATCTTTAAGAAAAAATGCAGAAAATGTAACCAGGGTCCTATAAGAATGCATTAAGGATTCAGTATGAATCCAGATGGTCAATTAGGAGGATTTGTCCTCAGAACAGTCCTATTGCTCTTAAAATGTGGATGTAAGTGTTTTGTACATAAAAATATTAAAGCATTCTTTGCTTGAAAATAGATGAAGTAAAAGAATGTCAGTTTCTGCCATCGGTGAGTAGATTTTATTGGTCCAACCCATAAAAAGCAATAGCAAAACCTGGTTAAAATATACAAATCTTTGACGACATTGTTATGTAGATGTTTAAACAGGAGTTTCTGGGGTACCAGAGGAAGAGGACTGCCTCATGCACACTGGTGTTTCTATGGGGGCAACTGAAAATCATCAGGGAGTGAGAATGAAGTCCCAGGAGAAAAGTGGAGCCTTTCTGGGCTTAGTAGAAATAAGGTAGAATTTTGTGCAAGCAAAATACTGGGGCTTCTGCTTCCCGGTAAGACGTGGTGAGTAGAGGTGGGATGGCAGTAGGAAATACTTGCTTAAAGGGTGTATTTGTGAAAGTTTATAGAGAGCTGGGGGGCCAAAAAAGATTCCCTGAACTAAGATGCTGCACAGGTAAAAGTCCTCACTGGGGGCGGTGAGATCACTAGGCGTTTCCACACCTGAAGAACTTGCTTAGTGTGGACACTGGCAGTCTTAGGGAGAAAGACATCACGAGTGGGTAAAAACAAGCTGATGGGCACAGTCCCCCAAAACAGGGCTGCAGGCTAGGAGGTGGGGATGGCAAGAAAGGTGCTATAATACCATCCCACGGTTTTGGGGGGATTGCTTCCAGCTGCAGGAAGGCATCTGCAGTGGCTATTTTTTTTATAAGGATTTTATTTATTAAAGAGAGAGAGCACAAGTTGGGGGAGGAACGGAGGCAGAGGGAGAAGCAGGCTCCCTGCTGGGCAAGGAGCCCAATGCAGGACTTGATCCCAGGACCCTGAGATCATGACCTGAGCTGAAGGCAGATGCTTCACCGACTGAGCCACCCAGACGCCCCTTATTACTTTTAAAGTTTTGATGGCAATACTAACTGTCCTTTTAAAGGAAGATAACTGATGCACCATCAGCATTTACTTGATCTGTTAATAAAGAATTTCTGATGATTTTTCGTAAAGTAGCTTCTCCAGCATGAATTATCTTATTTTCATAGAAGATTTTATCTTTCTGGTGATTTCTTTTTCACGTATTTCCTGTTTTAGCAGTTACCCTACACTAAATTTTCTTGTGCACACCAAGGCGATGTTTAGCCCAACGAGCATGCATATTGAGTGCATACATAGTTTTTGTTCTGTGGCATTTACTTATTTGTTTGATTAAAACACATTTCTGTAGAGTTCTTCCAATATAGTTTTTGCATCTATGAACATGAGCACATCATTTTCTCATTTCTGTTAATATGGTTGTTTTAATGGATATCCTAAATCTGAATCACACTTGC